CGTCCTCTTATCATTCCCTCTTTACTCGACTTCTTCATGCAAATTTTCGAGTTTCCCGATTTTGCCCCAACCCCAATTAAGGATTCGATAATCCTATAGTTACGATATGGACACCTTGGAGCGCCCTTCTTGCAAGGTCGTGTATTACTGAGTTACCACTACGGCGAACGTGCTACATCGCCAGATGGTAAAGGAGGCCATTAGGTGCTTACAGTCTAGAAGAATATTGTCAAAACTAGAATTCAAGAATTGAGTGTCATTGTCAATTGCCGTGACTATGCTTGCACAGTCTACTTCAATGAAAATCCTGTTGAGCATAAAATGCTTAGCCCATTCACGTTAACTTTTTATCTATTTAAGAATAAAATTAATTATATAATAATACATTATATTACAAATTTATAATATTAAGTGACATTATGATTATATTATTTTTCTTTCCTATTTAATTCTCTCTCCTCAAGGGTTGTGTTTATTTATTGTCTCTTCCTATATTATTATTTTTTATTTTATAAACACGAAGGAACTTGAACCTCATACCTTTAATAGAAAGAGAAAGAGCTCTAACATATAAGTATGCATTTTTCCCACTCAATATTTAATCATTTCATTTTGGATACAATTAAAATACTTTTCCTACGTTATTATTTTTTATTTTATAAATACAAAGATGGGACTTGAACCTCATATTTCTAATAAGAAGAGAAAGAGCTCTAACATATAGGTTTGCATTTTTCCCACTCAATATTTAATCATTTCATTTTGGATACAGTTAAAATACTTATCCAATTAGATATCAGATATATGCATATCCGATGCCCACCCAGATGAACGTTTTAATGGGCTCATAATTTAAGGACCGAAATTGCGATGTAGCCCAGTCCAAGCTATTTGGGCCCTGTTATAAGGGGAAGCGAGACCGACGGTTGGTGCCTGCGAAGTTTGCCGATGGCAGCCGTTATCCATCCCCAATATTTCCAACTCCTCCGGTCTAACTTCCCACCAAAACCGCCTCCGCCACCGCTACCGCCACCTCCACCTCTGCTGTGCCTGACCTCCCTTTCTCTCCTCAATGTCAAACCCCACCACGGCAATCTCTTCTGCTTCTCTTCCAAAGCACAATCTCTGCCTAAATATCCAAAGCTTCTTTCCCCTCTGGATTCAAGTCTACTACCCGATGATCCTTCTTCGACGCATGAATTATTTCGCCTTCGCTTTACTAAATTATCCTCCTTGCTTCAGCTTTCCGTTCAGTGTGGAGATACCGAGCTCGCCAGCGCTGTGCATGCCTGTATTCTCAAGTTTGAGGAAGATTCCCATATGCGTAATGCTCTAATTATAGCGTATCTCAAGCTGGGTCTTTTTCAAGATGCTTACAAAGTTTTCATGGGTCTCTCTTGCCCCGATGTGGTGTCTTACACTGCTTTGATTCGGGGTTGTGCAAAGTTGAACAGAGAAGATGAAGCGGTAAGGGTTTTTATGAAGATGATGACTGCTGGTGTTGAGCCTAATGAATACAGTTTTGTTGCTATTTTGACTGCGTGTCTAAAGTGCTTAGAGTTAGAGTTGGGTTTGCAAGTTCATGCCCTGGTTATCAAAACGGGCCATTTGGATAGTATTTTTGTTGTTAACAATCTTATGGGATTGTATGTCAAATTTGATGGGTGTGAGTCTGTGGTTAAGTTGTTCGATGAAATGCCTCAAAGAGATATTGCATCTTGGAATATTGTGATATTGAGCATGGTGAAGGAGCTAATGTATGATAAAGCATTTGATATGTTTCGTAGTATGCAGTGCAATGATGGTTTTAGATTCGATTACTTTACTGTCTCAACAATGTTGACTGCTTGTGCAGGCAGCAATACTTTGCTGCAAGGCCAAGAAGTTCATGCCCATGTTATCAAGATTGGATTAGACCCCAATTTGAGTGTGAACAATGCACTCATTGGGTTCTACACAAAATGTGGTACAATGAAAGATGTAGAGACATTGTTTGAGAGAATGCCTGTGAGAGATGTTGTCACCTGGACAGAAATGATTACGGCCTATATGGAATTTGGGATGGTTGATTTGGCTTTGGAGACTTTTGAGAAGATGCCAGAGAAGAATTCTGTTTCTTTCAATGCCCTATTGGCAGGATTTTGCAAGAACAGTGAAGGGCTGAAAGCACTCAAGCTGTTTGTCAAAATGGTGGAGGAGGGTTTAGAGTTGACAGATTTCAGTTTGACGAGTATTGTCAATGCTTGTTCATTGCTAATGGATTCAAAAATCAGTAAGCAAATTCACGGATTTTGCATAAAATTTGGTTTTGGATTAAATGCTTGTATTGAAGCTGCATTGCTTGATATGTGCACAAGGTGTGGAAGGATGACAGATGCTGAGAAAATGTTCCAGAAGTGGCCATCTGACCAGGACAACTCAGTTGTATGTACATCAATGGTGTGTGGGTATGCTCGAAATGGGCAGCCCCATGATGCAATTTCTCTTTTCTGTAGGAGTTTAAAGAATGTGGATGAGGTAGCATTGACTTCTGTACTTGGTGTATGTGGAACTTTAGGGTTTTACCAGATAGGAGAGGGGATCCACTCTCACGCTATTAAAATTGGGTTCATGTTTGATTCAGAAGTGTCGAATTCCATAATAAGCATGTATGCTAAATGTGGCAACATAAATGGTGCAACGAAGGTTTTCAACAGCATGCCTACAAAAGATGTAGTATCATGGAATGCTTTGATTTCTAGTCATCTGCTTCATAGACAGGGAGATAAGGCCTTGGCTGTCTGGTCTAGGATGCTGGAGGCAGGAACAAAGCCAGACGCAATCACTTTGATTTTAGTTATTTCAGCATATAGACATACTAACTCAAATATAGTTGATGACTGTCGGAAACTGTTCATGTCCATGAAAACCAAGTATGATATTGAGCCTACTTCAGAACATTATGCTGCCTTTATTGGTGTTTTAGGGAAATGGGTTCCTCTTGAAGAAGCAGAGCAATTGGTAAACAAAATGCCTTTTGAACCTGATATTTCTGTTTGGCGTGCTTTACTCGACAGTTGTAGAATCCATTTGAACACAACCATTGGGAAACGGGTTGCAAAGCATATAGTAGCAATGGAGCCCCAAGATCCTTCAACGTACATACTTGTATCAAATCTGTACTCTGCATCTGGGAGGTGGCATTGCTCTAACATGGCCAGAGAAGATATGCGAGCAAAGGGGTTCCGTAAACATCCTGCTCGAAGTTGGATCATTCAAGACAAGAAGCTGCACTCATTCTATGCAAGAGATAAATCTCATCCCCAAGCAAAAGGTATCTACAGTGAGTTAGAGGTATTGATCTTAGAATGCCTAAAAGCTGGATATGTTCCAAACACTAGCTTCGTACTTCATGAAGTTGAGGAGCATCAGAAGAAGGATTTCTTATACTATCACAGTGCAAAACTTGCGGTAACTTATAAACTTCTAGTTTCCAAGTCAAGAGAACCCATTCAGATTGTGAAGAACATACTCCTTTGTGGAGACTGCCATACATTCTTGAAGCATGTTTCTATAGTTACCAGGAGGGAGATAGTTGTAAGAGATGCTTCTGGATTTCATTACTTCTCGGGTGGAATATGCTCCTGTAGAGATTGTTGGTGACTGATCCAAATGTAATTTATCCTCCGTAATGTTTTGGTACATTGTAATTTTATACTTTTCCCTGCAGTTTGGGGTAAGTTAAGATTATCCAGTCTGAACTGTACAATAGAGATGGTTGCATGAGAGACTAGCCCATGATATTGGTCCTCTCCATTCCACCATCTCTGTAAGACAGGGAACCCAATGTATAATATGTACAAGTTTCATTGGAAATCAAAATTTTAGCTCTCGAGCATTCCCCTACGTGGCCCGCGTGGTCACGCTGCGCAGCAGCAAAGTGGAATGCACCCTTTGGTCTTGAGGTCGAATCCTCCCAGTGTAGAACAGATGCTAACTTAACCACATAATTTCCATCGTCAAAAAAAAAAAAAAAGAAAATTTTTGAGCTCTCGAAAATTTTGGTCAAAATCGAAGGCAATTAAATTCTTATTAATGTCTCAAAAGAAAAAGAAAGTAGAGGCCGAGAAACAACTAGATGATCGTTTACCTAAAGATTAAATTTTTAAAAATTTAAAATTTAAAAGGAGAGATAGTAGCCAAAAATCAGGTCTTGATAATAGATAATCATAAGTTAATCTGAACTAAAAACAGTTTGCAACAATAAATCTTATTTTCAATTTTTGATTCCCCGTAAAATCATTCTTTCTTATTGGATAAAATCTAATTCAAATGATTAAAAAAAAAAAAAATTGGCTTACCACACTGTTATATATATGTGCTATCATCCTGTTGTTCTCATTATCCCTCACACATTATCCTGCTCATGGCAATGGCTTCTTTCTACAGATTCTTCACCTTTGGTTTAGCTCTTTTGTTCTTTACCTTCTCCTCTTATGCTATTGAAGTCACCTTTGATTCAAGATCATTCATGTTTGATGGCGAAAGAAAACTCATTCTCTCTGGTTCCATACATTACCCCCGTAGCACTGCAGATGTAAGCCATAATTCGAGTTTCCTATAATTATATATGTTTTGTTTAACTACTTCTTTATTTTTTTTAACATATCTTTTTTTATGTATAGATGTGGCCGGATTTGATAAAAAAGGCTAAGGATGGTGGTCTAAATGCCATTGAGACCTATGTTTTCTGGAATGCTCATGAACCTCAGCCTCGTCAGGTGTTTTCATTTTTTATTATTTTTTCAATCTTCATATAGCATTATAATTAATTTTAAGCGTATAATTTAACTTAGAATTTAATTTTTGTTTTGTAGTATGATTTCACTGGAAATAAAGACCTGGTAAGGTTTATTAAAACCATTCAGGAAGAACGAATGTATGTCATTCTCCGTATTGGCCCATACATATGTGG